AAATCCTCAAAAGCACTTGAGAAGTTCCAAACAAAATTTTTAAAGATTATTTAAAGATTATAAAGATACTCGAATTCTGTTTAATTTTAGATTTTTGCAGCTACTTTGTAGACGTGTGTAAGTTTAATTATAGCAATCGTAAATCACATTCTTTCCAGAGAATTTCTTAAAAATTCGCAGAATTAAATGTTCTCCTTTATGCAGCTTATTTTCGATCTTATGTGGTGCTGTTGGTGGTATCGAAATTTTAGTGATTTGCGAGAATTTGAGAAATTTTTCGGATGTTGATTTTTATGATTTTAAGATTTTGATGATGGCTAGACTTAATAAATTTTGTATCGAGGGTAGGGAGACATAGTATTCTATCAAAAGCACTAACCAAATACACTCCTAATTAGTGTCAGTAAACTACAATGCTCATGCCAGATTCAATTCAATTAAATTTAATAGAATCACACAAATGCTTCCATTATCAAGAACAACCACACAACAATGCCAATTGAAATTTACCTCATCTGATGGCATCAATGTTGACATAGTGATATGGAACCTCCCCCCATCAAATATTTCACATACTTTTTCAATAAAAATATTTTCAGTTGCCGATCAAATGTTCCCATTAGAAACTCTGATGGGATTATTTATTCTTGGAAAGCTGCTTAAAAATTTGACAAGAGATGTGAAAAAATTCAATATTCTCTCGTCAATCACAGCTGGTAGGATTTTTATTTTGTGTGTGTATGTTTCATAAGTTTAAAATCAGCCTACGTAGAAACTGAATATCGGCATCAAAAATCAGTTACTCATACAAACTGAATCATTTATAAATTAAAAATTTATTCATCAACTTCCTTGCTGTATTTTATTATTCTTAGAAATTAAGAAATGAAATATGGGTGGGCTTCAGTATCAATGAGGTCTGTGCATATGAATTTGAGGCATAAAACATCGAATAGAGTCAAAAAGAAAGATTTAAAAAATTAACAGTCTTTAAATATTTGAATTTTTTGCTAGTCATAATTTTTTTTTGTAGACGTCATTTAAAGTCAACCCTTTAATAATTCTCATACCTTGAAATTTCAGAACCATTCTCCGACATATTATTGACCGCACCATATGGCAAGTGAATGTGCCTATTCAATCATATGATGTAATTTCTACTCGTATTTCGCATAAACTTTTATAATATTTTCTATACATTCCCCGCTATGAATATTTAGCACATTTTCATTTCAATTGTTTTTATCCAATTAGCAAAAAAAGTTTAAAAACAGCACGAAAATAAACTTTTTTATATTATTTTAATCTCGCATGTGTGTGCGTATGTCATGCATAAATATGTACAAATACAAAACGAGATTTAGTGTGAAGGAAATTTATTATTTATTTTGGAAATGTTGCATGAAAAGATTATAATCGGATTGATTAATTGCTTATATGGTAATAGGCTGATGTATTTTATGAGACTTTAATAAGTAATGAATCTTGTCAATGGCTGACTATTTTCTCTTTAATGCCATTGTCACTTTCGACGACAGACAGGCACACAAATAAAATTAATAAATATTTTGCAATAAACAGATGTTTAATTCCCCCACAAGTCAATTAAATTTTAATGGAAGCCTTTCTCGTGATGCTTTCAGTAAGCAATTTGCAGCATGTCCATGTCCATCCCGTTCATCGCACTTTCAACTTTAGGTAATAAAACAATATTAATATTATAAAGTTATTTGCAGACAGAGATTATTTATGTGAAAGAAACTTTAATTTACGGCACAAAATACATAGCATTCTCATATATTCCCAGCAGAGATGGAGATTTAGATTTATTTTTAAAACGGTTTTCTGAATTTCAAATTGTGTAAAGCTTCTGCTTTTTGTTTACAAAAATTCAATTCATGGAAAAAAATCAAAATGAACCTTTTATTCACTTTATCAGAGTCTTTTGAAAGTGAAGCGACATTGTATCAATCACGTACTACATGATAAAGTCATTAACACTCGACAAACTCATTGTTTAATGGCAAATTCAATGAAACAATATTGCTATAAAATATTTATAAACATGCTATAAAATATTTCAAGAAATTTATAACCGTTAAAATTTAAAATTTTATCAACCGTTAAAATGGAATCAAATTTCCTCATTTCTACATCCATTCACAATTTTAAACATGCCACAGATTTCATAATCCAAAGAAGTCATTGAACTCGATCAGCAAAATCAACAACAACAATGTCATCGACACTTGCAGACATAAAAATAATCACGAATAAGTTTAACCGTCAAAAATCAACTCTGAATTTAAGCACATGTGAGTGTGAGTGAGAGAGCTGAAGAAATGAAGAAGAAAAATGGATATAATCAGCATCACAGTTAATTTCATCGTAAGAACCTTGGCAAGAGAAAATAATGCATGAAGAAAGAGAAATGTACATAAGCTAAGGAGAAGATGAAAGTACATATATTTTGCATATATTTTGACATGAACTTCTGTATGAGCAGGAAATTAAATAAGAAATGAATTTATGCGAGATGATGTTCATATTTATATCATCATCATCATCATATGTTGCGGGATATTAATGATGTTCTATTGGTGGACCAGGGATGATGAAATGAACAGGATATGAGCAGATTAACTCTAAATTTCCTTTAAATCTCACTCTTAGTGCTTCAAAGCCATCCAAAATTTATCATTACAAGCACTTTTCCATCTCTAGACACTTAATTGAAATAAAATCTAGCTTCTGCTTTGCATCAAAAACCCTGAGATATACGGACTAAATTACAGCAACAACTAAAGAATGTAAGATTTGTAATAAGAAATGCACATAAAAAAGCCGTACAGACACTAGATGGTGACTGAATATGTAGCTTATAGATGCAAATGTTTCTTTTATTCTTTACATGAAATGGATTCACTGAATGATGCCATCCATCCGCTATAATTTTTTAATTTCAAAACTTATTCTTAAGTGTTGGCAAGAAGCAAACAAAAAAATGCCTCATTTTTTTTCAATATGTATACCCATGTATGTATAAAGCCATAGATATATCTCATTTTCTTTCTTAATTGATTTTTTGTTTGTTTGAAGTTTTCTGAAAAGTTTTGTGGATTTTGTTCATTTTGTCTTGTGTCCAACAGCAACACTTTTAACGGTTAAAATTCTAATTCAAACTTTAAAAAGCCGTTAAATTATGAATCGGTTTAATTTAAAATTTGAAAAAGTTTTTATAAATAAAACGGTTTAAATTCAAACTTTAGAAAGCCGTTAAATCTTAAATTGGTTAATAATGAAACGGTTTAGATTCAAATTTTAGAGGGACGTTAAATTGTTACTAGATTTAAAGCAGCAGATGCGCTCAAACAAATCAGACTCCCAGAACACAACACCACCAACAAATTTCTTGCTCATTCATTTCCATAGAAAATAATGATACGAAAATAAATGCTGTTCATCATCATACAGTAACATCACTCACATCGGTATCATGGATGTAACTGTTATGGGGCCAATTAAATCATTTCACATTAATTAGTCAAAATAATTGCCAGAAATTCTTTAATCACTTAATAATTTTCAGATGAATCCAACAGCTCATGATGAATATTTTAAGGTTAGGAAAGTGATGTGATTCATGCAACCGTGAGCTTTGCTCTATATATTATCTTTGCACATAACTGGAAATTCTAAATAAAGAAAGTACAGAGTTGAGCCGTCTGTAGCAGCAAGATAAGCATATTGAAACAACTTTCTTTATAAAAAATATCGTTCATTTTTTTCGGTAGTCATCGCTTAAATCATTTACGGCACATTTGAGTGAGTTGATTAACATTTTAAAAAAGATTCTTCTTCTTCTTAGCTTTTCTCATTTCACGATTCTATTAAGTGCCTCCACATATTGGAATCGCAAAAATCTAATTGCTCGATTTTTTTTTCTTTCTTCTAAAATTCTGTTCTGACTTAAGAGCTCCTTAACTGTAACTTTTTTTTTCTTCTCCTCTCTTTATTCTTGAATGTGTTTCTTTTTGCCATTAAAAAATTTTTGTTTTCGTCTTGTTTCTCAAATATCACTAAAGTATCGAAATAGCATGTAAGAATATACAGTGAAAAAAATCATCAAATTTCTTAATATTCTTTACATTTCTCCGACTAACAGAAGCAACTTCTTAGTGGCATAAGTACGTGTAATTCTATACAAATTGAGTTAGCAATTATAATAGCAGAAAATGTCGTTATTTTTTGAATTCGAAAAATTTAATTGCGCATCTTTTGTCAAAATTGTTTAATTTGAATTTTTGGAAACCTTTAAATTTTCCAAAATTGCTTAAAGGCAAAGATAAAAACGAAAAATGCAATCAATGCTGATTTATGGTTGATTTATTACAGCTGACAGTTTAAATGCTACTATCTTCAAAAAAAACTCATAAAACTCAATAAACAACCGCCAACTGTCCAAAAGACAATCCAAAGTTCATATGCTACTCGGACAGTGAAAGCGTGCTTTATTCACTTCTCATTGCCTTCTGCTTCTCACATGGCAACAATTTTTACTTCAATCCAACTTGACTTTTACGTCATTTTAATATCCAAAATAATTTGGATGCGCTTTTCGTTCCCAATCTGAGCGGGTCTCGCCCATATGTCACATCGAATTGATTCATTAAGTTTACTCATGTAATTGCGAATATAAAACTGATAATGAAAGTTACACAAACGATCCAATTTTTGATATTTGTATAGCACTTAAAACAATCTAGCACAATGACTGAGTAGCACTGCTGATTCACCGTAAAAAAGTCACAGGAAAAGTTCTAAATCACTCGGGATTTATGATTTCATACCATACATCAGTCGTGGTGCATTGTGAGTAAATGAAAACCCACACGCGTCTTTTGTCTGCAACTTATGTATTCTTTCGAGTGGACAGAGTGAAATCGATAGCCATGCAGCAGCAACAGAAAAAAATTAATAAAAAAAAAAGTTTTTTTCACCTTTTTTGGTCGTGATTCAATGATTTGAATTTGTTCAACTTCAATTCCATCTGCCATTGTGTGTATATTTCTGTATTTTATATATTCCAAGTTTAGTATGTACTTTATGACTTTTTTTTCCTTGACGGAGTAAGTTAGTAACAAGTAAGTAACGTTAAGGATGTGGGTGGTAAAATAAAGTCTATTTAATTCACTTAATATTTAATTTTCTTATTATTTATATTTCTATGTATCTTTCTGCTTAACTATGAAGCCGGCCTTATTCAACGAACGACGCGATCAAACTGAATTGAAGAACAACAAGAAAGCAAAAAAAAAAAAAAATGTTGTGTATTAAAGTTTAAGGCACAAATGGGTTTTTTTGATGCAGCTAAATGAAAAGAAAATGATTTTAAAGAGAAATGAGAGAAAAAAATAAACGTTTTTTGACTGCTGCTTTATTTCTCGCGGTTTTAGTCACCGATTCTCTTGTGCATTAATATCGTATGACTTTTATATGTTATCAGAAAATTAATTTATATTTTTGGAAGTTTTATTTTGTTATCTGCAATAAATGTGAATTTGTTCTGATATCGGAAATGTCATAAACGGTTGTACTTATTACTTTTGATAGTAATTTATTGCGAATATCGGCAAATATTTCCATGAATCATCAAAAAATCCGTTAATATTTGAATTTCTGAGCAAAAATATTTTCTACGTCTTGAAGTTGACTGCGTTCTGGATATAAAGCTTCAGGGTTGTCTGAAATCAGCTTTCGATTTTCTTAATTCTTCATGATTGTTAACTTTCAAATAGACTAGCTTGTCAAACTAGACTGAGTCACACGTGGTATACAAGATCCCAAATCCCAAACCTCAAAAATAACATCCATAACTCCTTAAATAAAAACAAATTCATGCATTAATCGTGTCCAAAAATACATCCACAACATCCCTGAGCACTACAGAAGTAAAGAAAATAACAAGTAGTCAAATTTCCTAAAAATAACCAATTTAAATCTAATGTCAACTGCTGAAATTGTTAAATGATTTCAAGAGTGTTTAGTTCCTTGCCAAATAGAGTTTCACAATCAGCTACTGCTGCTTATTTCACATGTAAATATTTGATGGTAAAATTCTCAGTCAAATTTTTATGAATTCTCATTTATGTCAATATAGACAAATCTTGGAGACAAAACGGATACAGAGGCTGTCATAGCAATAAAACTTCTGTTATAATGGCTGATATTACTGTCCGTATTTTACCTGCTTTGTCCGATAATTACATGTAAGTTATTGATCTTACTGGATGTTCGGTATTTTGCTGGATTAATCAATAAATCCTCATCCATAAACAGGTACTTGATAGTCTGCAATCAAACGAAGGATGCGGCAATTGTTGATCCAGTAAATCCTGAGACAGTCATAGAAGCTGTTAATAAGGAAGGAGTTAATCTTAAGTCTGTATTAACGACTCATCATCATTGGGATCACGCAGGTGGTAATGAGAAGCTTTTATCGCTTTTTGGTAAGCCACTAACAGTTTATGGAGGAGACGATCGTATTGGTGCATTGAATAAGAAAGTAAAGCAAGACGATGAATTTATGATTGGAAACCTGAAAGTTCAATGTATTTTTACGCCATGTCATACGACCGGTAAATACAGCTATGATGAAAAGAATCGTGAATAGCCTATTAATTGACTATAAATTTACTTTTTCTTATATTTATTGCATTATCAAGGTCACATTTGTTATTATATTCAATCGCCGGCTAGTGATCAAAAAATGGTCTTTACCGGTGACACTCTATTTCTTGGTGGTTGTGGACGGTTCTTTGAAGGAACTGCTGATCAAATGTATTCTGCCTTAATTGAAAAGCTATCGAATTTACCTGACGATACGCAAGTTTTCTGTGGTCACGAATATTCACTTGGAAATTTGAAATACGGAAATCATGTTGAGCCTGACAACAAGGATATTCTAGCTAAGATTGAATGGTCTAAAATTAAACGTGAAGCAAATGAACCAACTGTTCCATCAACCATTGCTGAGGAGAAGCTTATTAATCCATTTATGAGAGTCAATAGCGAATCAGTTCAAACATTCGCAAACGCTGTTGGAAATCCTATTGAGACAATGACTTATATTCGCAAAATCAAAGATTCTTTCAAGTAATTGATTATCATCCTATTTTGGAATTTATTGTAATTATGTTTGGTTTTGGGGAAATAAAGTATAAAGCATGAATGGGTTGTGAACTTTTTATGATCAATTTTAAATGCTCATCATTCAATTTCAATTAACGACACTCGTTTGGAAGCTGAAACTTTTCATTTTTCATTAAATTAACACAACAGCAAAGCTATAAAGTTACAACAGAAAAATGATAAATGCGTGTCAGTAATTTTTAATAGCATCGGTTTATTTTTTTTTGTGCGAGAAAATTCATTGAAATGTCCTTGAAAAGAGCATTTGTAATGGAACCTTTTATTGCTTCGCTTGAGCTTTTTAATTTAAAAATATTTATTGCAATTTAAAATGTCAACTGATTTAAAGAATTTGAATTTTGAACTTAAAGCCGTTAAAATTTGAATTTTGAACTTAAACCCGCTAAAATTTGAATTCTAAAACCGTTGAAATTTTAAAAATAATAATCAATTATAATTGATGAAGCCATCTTCAAGCTCTACTACAAGTAAAGCATCACCAAGGAAAAATGAGGAAGACTCAATTTAAAATGTCTCTATTTCCTATAAATGTTACGGAAATCATAAAAGCCACTAGTAATTGAAAAATCTGTTAATTGTTCCTTAATAGCACTTCTGTCAGTTCATTGATAAGTATTTGAACAAAGAATTCATTCACAAATATTAAGCTCATCAAATTATTTAACAAAAACAGTGCTTTTATGTCTCAAAGTCGCGTGAGAAAAAACAGCAAAAAGTCACTTGACAGATTTTTAAAAATTAAAGTTAACGTGCTGCTGTAATGAGCAGTAAGTACGTGCTTCATAAAATTAAATTAAATTGAATAGTTTTTTCGGTGAATGAAGATGCAAGAACTTTATAAAGTAGATTTAAAAGTTAATGACTAGCTTAAGCCCATTCAATTTTGAGTATTCTGATGAATTTAAACTTAAGAACATTAGGATTCTTGGTAAACAAATTGACTTGATTCGTCGTCTCGTGTTTGCATGAATTAATTCAAAATATTCCTAATGACTGCTGTTCCAAAAATAGAAATCCAGAAGGATATTGAAATCAGATTATTAATAAATTATTCATAACTGTTTAGAATTAACAAACCAGTCTGTGCACTGAAGATGAAATGTCTTCATTATAATTTGAGGAATTTTTTTAAATTAATTGGAGTTTATTTCCGAATATTTGCTAAGCACTAAAGAATTAGCCCAATGGGTGCCGATGGTTCTTATTCTTCGAAAATGGTCCTTATTCTTCGAAATCGAAAATTCGAATTTGAATTTTTTTCAAAAAATGAAATTCCGTTAAAAATATTTCATCAAAAAATTATATTTGTTTACATCAGTAAAATTTTGATTAATTTTCATTAATTATGGGTAAAACCTGCAAAATTGCAAGCTGCAACAAAAATAAAACAATTACAAATCTTTTTAAAGTACCTAAGCACTCATTAAACAAAGATAAATGGTTGTTATTTTTAAAATCAAACAACATAAGTGTCGACGGAAGTGAGATTTCTGCTGTAAGTGATTGTAACACATTCAAGACAAAATTTTCAGATATTGTTCTTAGTCAGGTTGAAATTCCATTTGAGCATTGTTCAAAGACTATTGAAAATTTAATATTAGTTTTTGTAACTTTTCGATCAAAACTTGAGCTTCATTGTCGATTGTTACATTCAAAAAACAAATTTGCGTCGAAGAATTGATTTTTGTTCATAAATAAATTTAACGGTCTTTAAAATTTCAAAATTTTTTATAAAAAATTATTTTTCGAATTTTTTCGAAACAGGTTTGAATTTTAGAAAAAATAACGGTCTACATTGTTGTAGGCACCCATTGGGAATTAGCATGCAATAAATCGATCGTATTGAGCTTATACACATCTATGCGTGTCTTCTGCCAATTCGTGCTTATAAATCACATTAAGGACGTTTAAATTAACACTTTTGTTTTTGTTCTTCTCTGGTTTTTCTTGTTTTGCATGCAAATTATGCTCTATGAGGTCTGAAAATGACCAACTTTTGATCATGATCACTTAATTATGAAATGATGATTGAAGCCGCATGGAAGAATATTAAACATTTTGAATTGAAAAATAATGAAGTTAAATGCTCATCACAGTAAGCGTCTTTAAGCATCAATCAAAGCATTAAATTGAGAGATTTTTAAAATCAGCAGTGGAATTAAGATGCTAAGATTTTGCATAGGGGTCGTTCATTTAAGACGTCCGAAATTAACGGTTATTTTTCGAAAAAAAAACAATGGATTTCTAGGAATTTCTATTGTTTTTTACTTGTTGGACCCCCCCCCCCCTCCTGGACGTCATAAGTGAACGGCCCCATACCGACATTCGCTGAATTATGAATGAATAACAATAGTTCATTGTCACAGAATAATGCGTTCATTTAGTGAACATTATAACTTGGTATCTGGTTATTTATGCTTGAACTGGATGGAAATCCCATTTCATTCTAATAAGTCATATTCCCTTTTATGCTGGCTTTTCTCTATCTTTGTCATTTGGTTGAGAAATATTCCGAAGAAATTCTTAGAACATTTCCTGAATAAAGGAGCTGAACTAGAACAAGTAAAGCATTAAATAACTCTGGTTTTGAAGAACTACTGAGAGATGTGAGCATCATATGTTAACAAGTTTGTTGAAAGCTTACCAAAAAAATGACCACAAAGTAAAATTGTTAAAGTAATTACCTTAAAATATTATTTTTACTTTGGATTGCATTGATACAAAATTACTTCGTCAAGGCTGAGTATGATTACAAGGATATTGGCTACTTTATATCCTACATACTCAATATTCTGTATACATCTCATTAAATATTTATGGTATGAACCACTTAAACATCTCAATTTCTTCTAATGACCAACATGTCCAGACTTCAACATATCCGAGACAAATAATCATCGTAGAGTGATCATTACATCAGCAAGAAAAAACTATTTATTATTAGTTAAAGTATTAAAGTCTTATGGTTAAGAAGATGAACAAGACGAGACAAAAAGCACCGAAAATCGATATATAAGATGAAACTTGATTTTGGAATCTTCATTTGAATTTCGGCTGACCTAGTGTTCGGATCTTAAAGCTCAAAAGAGCTGCTCTGTGGATTTAATAAATATTTTGTGTGTGTGTGTGTGTTTTTGGAAAGGAGTAGACAAGACATAAGTGCAATAAGAGTGTGTGACAAATAACTGAGAAAAGAATCCATAATGGTAATGATATTGCATAATTATTTCAATGATGCTCGCATTTTTTTGTGCTGCATGCTTACATCTTTGTTGATCATTTCAAGTTCAAGCTTCATTGTACTTCATTAATTATCGATTAATTTCCGTGAATGTGTTGTCAAGTGTGATGAAATTTATCGATTAACAAGCTATTCTTTGAAACTTTAAAGACATAAACAAGCTTAAACCATAAAAATAAGTTGGATACTAAAAGTGCTCTTGAGATCTGAAGATTTATGCACTCAAAGTTTTAAAAGGAACAATATTCAGTGATTTTGAGTTTTTAATACAGGATATAACTTCTGTTCTTAACTGTTTGGTTTAGGTGAATGAATAATCTTTGACATTTGACTTTTGAGTTGCTAGACTTAAGGTGCTAAATTGGATATACTCTCTTGGAGACAATTTAAAACAATAATTTCATTAGCAATAACATAAAGCTGACTTTTGTGTAACTAGTGATTTTAAAATTGGATACTTCAACATTTACAAATTTACCAAGAAAGAGTATTTAAGTATGGACTAGCTCAGATTTGACGAAACTTACACAAAAGATCCTTATGAAGATCAAGGACCTAATAAATCAAAAATTTATCCTCGAAATCCCAAAATCTAGTCCGTTGCTTTTGTCTGCAACTGTAAAAAGCATCCACTTTATCATTTTCAAGGATGTCACAAAAAAAAATTATTAGCATTCCGCTAAATCCTAGCGGTCAAAATACTCTAAAGAATTCGAAAGTGAAGCACGTGAATCAAAGTTAATATCCGTAATTCCCACTTAATTAAGTAGTTCTTAAAGTTCAAAGCACGCAAAAAATGGGGAATCACTTCATCTAACAAGTTTAAAGACCGAATGCATAATGAAGTGACCATGAGTAGCCTTGAGCTTGAGAATGTGTCAGACGTAGCTAATGAAATCGAAAAGAAACATTGTTGACAAATTGTGGATGCTTTTAATGACATTATTCAGTTAAGGTTGCGTATTGTAACGAGTTATATTAAATTAATGGCTTAATTATGTAATTTAACTTCCTAAAAGTTGAGTGTGTTGATGAAAAATATCAAAAATTTCTCAAACGAAAATTAAATAAATTAATTTAGAAATTCTGAAGCTTCAACCTTGACGAAACACGGTTCTTGAGAATCTAATTAAACTGCTAATTTAATCAAATCTAATTGGTTTTGATTGTTACAAAGCTGCGCATTGTAATAAAGCTCATTATTATGTCAGATCCTTTTCAATTCGGTAATTGAGAATGTCGGCATATTTTTGTTTCTATCCGCATAGTTTTCGTTAGAAGTGATTGTTTTCGCACGCATGATGACTTAAAGATTGAATGTTTTGAAAGGTTAATGATATTATTTGCTGAATGATGTGTTTATTTATTGAGGTTTAGTTAACAATTTCAGAGAGTTGAGACTCGATGAGTTTTGGTTTTGTTTTCATTTAATTGACGGGAACTCATTGAATTTCAAAGCATTGATTCCTCAAATAACAACAATTCCATTAATTCCTTATTGCAGAAACACATCCTCATCGTTCTAGCAATTACAGCTAGCGTATCATGTCAAATTTACACACAAATTCAGGAAGATGGCTATCATTATGACAGGCCAAACATTGATATCAGATTAAATCTACCAAGTGATGCACCGAAAGCACAAATTAAGCCAGTTGCTCCAAAAACAGTTTCTGCTAAGACTTCATTGCCTGTAAAACCAAGAGTAGAACCTGTGGTTCCAGAACTACCACCAATTCCATCATTTCTTCCTCAGATTAATTTACCTAAAGTAATTCCAGTCAGGCCTGCTGCT